TCATGTGATCACTTTTTGCAACCTTCAGACAAGCAAAGTCAATGGGGAAGCCAGATTCATTTAATACCATATTACTAACTTAACAACTGCAATGATTCACTTAACAAATATGGCAAGAAAGATCGTAAAATGGGGCAAAATTCACTTAACAAATGACTCACTTAGCAACAGAAACTTTGGGATCAATTATGATTGTAAGGTGAGAACTACCTGCATGTATTTCTCTTATATATTAAAAAAAATAAGCAGGAAACAGAAGTTATTTTTAACTATATCAGATTACTGGCTCATCTGATTCATTATTGTCTCTATTGACTGGTAGTGACACTCCAAAGTTTCTGAGAGGAATCTGCTTCATCTCTTCTAATGTGCCTAATGCAATCCTGAATGACATTTGTTGTGTTAAAATATTGGCACACACTTACAGCCAAAAGTTGTCAGCCTTCTCTATTTGCAGAAAGATAACTGTAAGCTTACCAAATCTGTTGCTATCTGTTAAACCTTCTGTACAAGCTGTGTCCTATGACAGAAAAAGAGAACAGGATATCTGTGTACAGTTGCTACATCTTCCTGTGCCCCACCTCTTCAAACTGATTAACATAAAGAAGCTTTGACCCTTGGGTTAGCTTTCACAAGTGGGTGTGTGAGTGAGTGTGTAGGCATGAGCATGCATGCAAGCCAGGAGGGGGCGGGGGGGGGGACAGCTGGATGGAAATATGAAACATAAAATAGGTAACTATGGTCATTTTCGTATTGAGATGTGAAACCTGGAACCACACTGCTTGCCAAATGAGAATTTTTCATTAAAAAATAAAATAAAATGAAAACAGGGAGAAAATTGAATAATGGAATTATTAGGTATGTTTAATTGATATGGTGGTAGGCATTTGGAGAGAGTAAGGTTGAATATATATATTGAAGAATTATGAATTAATATGAATATAATGCAATGAGAGATGTATGATATATTGATGCCACACTGTTAATGTATTGTTGTTATATGTAGATTGAAATAAAAAAATAGGAAAAAAAATATGAAATATACAATAACTCCCCCTTCCCTTTCTCCCTATTGTGCTATCAGCTGTTCATAGACCTACGCTAAGGGAAGATCTATAGAAGTTGGGTCTCTTAGAGGTTCCTTTTTTGCTTGCTTTTTAGAATACATTTGGTGGTTTTACAGATTTACATTCAGCTTTAAAAAAAACTATTTTCACAGTGTTTAGACAGGAAGTTAACCACTGACATCTTTACAAGCGGTCAAGAAGTCAAGACAGTGGTCACAACCACACAATCTAAACAAATCATTTTTTTATGTACATCAACATGCATAAAAAAAGACAGGGCTTTGATATTGGAGTCACAACTGCCATGTTATATTATTATATTATTATATATTATTATATTATTATTATTATTATTATTTTGAAACCTCACACAGACTTCCCTGGAGTTAACCAAGAACGTTCATTGAATCCTTTTTGGATCTCAGACATCTTGAGCAAATTTGCAAGATAGGCCACTTAGATGCTTTTGTTCTAATGAAAGCAGTTTGTGAACTGCAAAGATAAAAGTCTCTGTACACCAGGCTTCTCAAAAAATTAAACAACCAATCTGCCGGGAAGTCTTAGCTTAAAAATAATTGCTAATTTTCCTTAAGCACTTTGCTCCAGTTCAACAATTTATTATAGGTATGTGAATTCTGAAATGAACGAATAAGTCACTTGCTCAGGAACTTCATGTAGAGATTGGGGCCACTGCATTGTAGCTGTGATATTTTATACTGCCTTTGGAAACTTGTAATTCTTAACCAAGGATTTCTGTTCATTTGTGATTTTTTTTACAGTACCCTGGTGGCTGCCATCCAATCTGCAGGCCTAACTGAAACACTGAATAGGCCAAGATCCTTCACAGTGTTTGCACCGACAAATGAAGCTTTTCAAGCCATGCCTCAGAGGGAGCTAAACAGACTTATGGGTAACTTCCCAAGTTCTTATTGATCAATTATATTTATACTACTTATTCTCAGCCTTCCAGTAAACTTCCAATATTTTATTTTGTTTCAGCCTCAAAAATACACAGCTTCCCTTTGATATACTAGTGAAAAAAATAGTGTACAGAAATATTATTAGACTAAAACGTAGACAGATGCTTTTACAAATTGGTACTCTATTAGTCTTTGTTACATTAGTATTTATTTAAATTTATAATATCTTATGTATTTTTCCATTTTCTCACAAGAAAGAAGTGAACTTTTACTAACTCCACTAAAATAATGACCCAGAAAACTTATATTTTTACCATTACTCATGAATATATGTAGTAAGATTTTCCTGCAACCGATCCACATCCATTAATAGAACTGATTCACCCACTGAAGCATAGACTATACATGCACAGCTGATTGTGAAGTCATCCAAAATTCCAGTCACTATCCAGATATTTTCCAGCAATAATAATATGGTCAAAAACGTGTAGGTTCAATATAGTAATATCATACACATTAGCTGAAATGGTCACTTGAAAATAATCAATATGAAGCCATATTAGGACATGAGACATGAATATTTCAGTCATCTTTTCTGCAAGTAATGAAGCATTCAGGCTTGTGCAGAGAATATCTAATTATGGGTTTGAAATAATATAATAAAATTATATTTTATTTATTGAAACTAGTTTGGAGACATCGTAATAAAGCAGATATCAACGTATGAGCACTGACTATCCCTTGTAAGTTCCTAGAGCAGCATTCTGCACATTTGTTCTATTGTTTAGAAATACTTTGTAATTGATTTATAGCTACTATAAGCAGTTGGGATGCTGAGAAATCCCAGGATCAGTCAAAATGTTCTTACGCTTTATAAGCAAATGTTTAGCTTACTCTTTCTGAAAGTGATCAGTCATAGGTAGGAAAATACAGAATACAAATAGAAAGACGGGGGAAAGTTACAGTGACTGTTGAAGTTACAATGGCATGGAAAAATGTGACTTATGATCATTTTTCACACTCACTACCATTGCAGCATCCCCATGGTCACATGATCAAAATTCAGATGCTTGGCAACTGACTCGTATTTATGACAGTTGCAGTGGCCTGAGGTCATGTCATCAAGTTTTGCGACCTTCTGATGCGTAAAGTCAATGGGGGAAGCCAGACTCACTTAACAACCATCTTACTAACTTAACAATTGCAGTGATTCACTTAACAACTGTGTCAAGAAAATGGGGCAACATTCACTTAAAAATTGTCTCACTTAGCAACAGAAATTTTGGGCTAATTTCAATTGTAAGTCGAGGATTACCTATATAATTCTACCGATACATAAGAGCAGTGATCAAATTATCTATACATTCCATTAGACTTCATTCTCAGCTGTGGAGAGCAAAGTTCTGTGAAACAAGCGGATCCATAGAATGACAGATTTCTGACTGTCCATGTGATAGTTTGAGTGGAGTTGGGGCCACTGGAGTTTGACTGACTGGCTGTATCAAAAATCTAATAAACATGTTAGCAATTTGAATGTGATGTAGATGGTATTGTAAAATACCTGCCTCTTATTGTTTCTGTATCTAAAGATCTCAACATTTTATCTTCAGAAAAGCTAAACCATCATTATCCTCAAATTCACAGTGCCCAGATAATTCAATAATTATACATTAGATAATTCAATCATTAGTTCTGAGCCCAACATTTTCCTAGAGATCAAAGATAAATACTGCTCTTTCATGCTAAATATATTGTAGTTCCATGTCTACCAGTCTTTGGGCCAGGGGGAATGAATTATATATTTTTTAGACTTCCATTTGAGATTCAGTTTTGCCCTTAAAAAAAATAGAATAGTGTTTGCTCTCAATCTTCCAGCTATTTTTGGCCACATTTAGAAACTTTTGCCAAAAAGCAATTTTATACACCAGATGTAAGGATTCAGTGTCAATATGTACTGCCATTCTCGTTTATTTAAAAATATGCAAGGAACAGGAAGAGCAGCTAATTATGTCAATGGGACAGAAACAAAATGGCAAAGCAGGTTTACGCCAAGCTAGCATTTGACCTAAAAGGAGAGCACAGTTTGGCCTCTTTTATAGAATTCCCAAAATTCAAGTCTTTTTTTGCACTTTTTGCACCTAACATGAATAAATGTGTTTCTTTCTGTTTGGGGCACTGTATCCCTCCTGCTGTTGCCCAAAGTGCTCCAGCTGCAGAGTGTGAAACAGTTTATTAGGTCGAAGGAATTGCTATGATTGTCTAGGGGAATCTTGATAGAAATACTAGACGGGAAACAGCTGCTTGGTTTAATGTAAAGGGAACACTTTTGATACTTTTCTCTGCTTATGAACACTGCCAATATGGTATTTTGTTTTGTTTTTTTTAATTACCACGAACTATGGGAAATAAGCTATAAACCTGAAATATGATTGGTCTCCTCTTACCTTTCCTTCCTGTCCTAGGTAATGCAAAAGAACTTGCCAACATCCTTAAGTACCACATTGGGGATGAAATTTTAGTGAGCGGAGCAGTTGGTGCCGTTGTAAGAATCAAGTCTCTGCAGGGTGATAAACTGGAAGTCAGCTCTGTAAGTTTATGATGTTGCCCTCCCTTTTTTTAAAAAAGATTTTTTTTATTGTCGCTCAATCTGTCGTAATGCAGTTTAAAGAACAGCTACTAAATTTATATCACCTTTAATTTTTTTTTTTTTTAAAGGCCACTAGGATTTAGCAAACTGGAGGTTGCCAGATGGAGCCTTAGGAAGTAAAGCTATTAAAGTCTAATGTTAGGGGAAAATCTGTTTTCTTTCCCAGTGGACATTGTCTTTATTATTGAAGATTAGCATTCATTTACCCTTCCACGGTTTTCATTCTTCCTGCCATGTAGTCTCAAAGCAAGACCTGCTGGTTGGTTGGGAATGACAACTATTTTTTATATTGCACTGATTACATAAGGTTTAGGAAAAAAAATTATTTGTATGTTACGGAGGATGGAACTAAAATAAGACTCTCCCACACACAGTTCCAGATAAGTGAGTTTTAGTGATACTAATGCAAAGACGTTAAGCAGCTCTGCACTTTTAAATGTTTTTGTAAATTCTGTGTTTGAGAAAGAGTAGTTCAACAATAAAAACCTTTAATTAGTTTATTGGCCTAGCCAAAGACAGAGGCTTGAAAACCAGAATCTGCCTTACAGAGAAAGACCAATGAGTTATAAGTAGCATTTGCCACAGCCCAATCAAGGTTTGTGTGTGTATGGGTGTGTGTGTGCATGCACACTATATAAACACTAATTTACTCCATTTCTCAGTTTGGGCTAGGGCTTCAGAATGGGTTTATAATGGTGTGGCAAAGTAGAACTTTTCTTGAGACAATATTATTACTGTATTTTACCTTACCTTTCCCATTAAAGCTCAAGGCAAGATCAGTGATATTTTTCCTCTCATTTTCTTAAGTTGGGCTAAGAGACTGTGACTGAAAGGTTTTTTACTGTTCTCTGACTTTTTGGTTGTTTCCTTGCAGACATTTCATTACCCAAACGAGGTAACATCACGTATGGGTAAGATTGGGTAATGAAACATCTGCTAGAAAAAAATGAAGCTCAGAGAACACCTCATTTCAACCGCTGAGCTACAAATATTCTCCTCTATTGTTAGATCGTGATTGGCCTAGAATCACCCAGAGAGCTCTGTGCCTACTTCCGGCCAAGCTTCCACAACCCCACCCAGCATCTGTGCAAAGAAAAACACGTATATAACTGACACTGTACTTCTTTGAAACATAGCCTGCTCCAGCTTTTATTTGTGAGACCAAAATATCCGAAACCAGTCAATAGCACAAGCAACCTTAATTTTTTTTAAAAAAAAAACCCTGCCTATATGAATATTACAATCTACTTATATATTAGATTTTTGCAAATTAGTTTATGTTCTGTCATCTCATTTCTTCATATGCTTTGACAATTTATCTCTACCTTTTCTACTTCAGAGAAACCACATAATAAACATCAACAGGATTCCTGTTGCCGAAGCTGATATTATGGCCACCAATGGTGTGATTTATGCAGTCAATAGTATCTTACAACCCCCAGGTAGGTCAGCTTGAGTTCAAGCAGAACACATTTTGCCCTATATTTGCTTCTCTTTCCTAAGTAGTTAAAGGCACGCTATTATTATAAACACCAGCACATTCCTATGTAGAAAGGAAGTTCATTTCCTGCGCAGAAGGAAACAAGCAGGTGTTCCTCCTCTTTAATTAACGCTTCTGTTTTTTTAAAAAAAGGCATGCAAACAAAGCATATACATTTTAAAGTGTGTGCTGGCTTTCTCAGAACAAAATAATAAATAATTCTTGGTGCTTTGGGAGGAAAAAGGGAAAGCTGGGTTCACAAAATATGGTGAATCATTTCCTTTGACAACAATTGTACATTCTTCCATAGATGCGCAGAGGTATTCTCCAGGTCAGTATCGGATGGAGATGCCTCTTTTTTTTTGTATTGGTCGCTGTAGAGCAGGAGTGTCAAATTGGATTTCATTGAGGGCCATATCAGGGTTGTGTTTGACCTCGGGGGGGGGGGGGGGGGGCCCACTTCCCCCCTGTGGGGGGCCCCGGGGGGGCCAAGAGCTAAGGCAGGACTTCCCTCAGACCCTCCCACCCTTCCTCTCATTATAAACTCCTCCTTCTTTTCTTTTTCCTTCCCTCTTCATTCTCCATTTTTCTTCCTTCCCCTCTTTCCTTCTTTTTCCTTCCTTGATCTGTTCCCATCTTAACTTCTTTGTCTTTGTCCTCTTTCCCTTTCTCCTTTCCTGTCCCTTCTTGGATGCTGAGATGCAAAAGGGGAAACATTTCTCCTTTTGTTTTTGTTTTTTTAGTTTGGCTAGCCCTCTGCAAGCAAAAACGGAGCCTAGGAGGGCTGTGTGTGGCCCTCCCGTGCTCTGTTTTCACTGGCAGAGGCACCACAGGCCGGTCCTTTGCAGTTTCCAGGGTGACCCCATGGGCCAGATCTAAGCACTCCACCATGGGCCTTGAGTTTGACACCCCTGCCGTAGAGGCTGGATATGGTGGAATGTGGGCAGGTTCTATCTGCTTCTTGGAATCTCTTCCATGTGGATCAGAAGAACAATTCACGATGACATCCTTGCACATGGAAATCTGTCTCTGCTGTCACACATTGGGTGCTAAGGTTGAGACTAGTACGAGGCTTTCAAATTTAAGCTCCTGAGCCTGGAATCCCGCACAGGAGTTGCTCGGAAACTACATCCATCATTCTTCAAAAAGGACAAGCAAGCTTGGGGAACCCTTTCTTAACCCCAATTCACTGCAAAACAGGTCTCTAAACAGGTCTCTAAAACTGTTTGATCACAGGGTGCATACAAAAGTTTACAAGCAAGTAATTTGCTCAAGTTGGTTTCATACATTATCTGCACCCATTCCTGCAGCCTTATTTGAAACAAAGACTCTTGCCAGACAGAAATTAGTTGATTAGAAAAAGAAAGAATAACCTTTCCCTTGATCAGGCACTTTTACTGGGAATCACACAAAGCAATTCCATGCAGCTTATCGGCGATCCTCCTCTCTCCCAAAGCACTTCTGTACACTTTATCTGTTTTCATTATGGCCTTTAGCAAACTCACTCTTGAAAGCTCTCTGCTTGGCTTGTAGCTTATTCCATATGGATTCTAATGTGGCTTTAGTTATGAACCGCTGCTGATTTGTGGGTCCTGTACATGTTTGATGGAGAAGAGGAGCAACAAAAAGATCAGGGGTTAACTTGTAAAAAATATTATTTGCTATTCAAACTCTGATGTTACTCTTATCTACTTTGTGACAATCCCTTTTCCTGCCCTCAAAACTGCCAGCACCTTTTGATACTCCTTCAAGCTGGAGGTTACAGCTGCAAACCTTTCATTTGGTTGAAAAAAATAGATTAAAAAACCCAAATTCTTGAACAGAGTGATCATATTTATGTTCACTAATGAAAATCAACTCTACAATATTGGGAATTACAACTTTCTGCAGCCAAGAGGCTGACACTAAAGGAATTGTAGCTTCCTCTGAAGGATAGGCATCGGGTTAGGAAATAGTTATCTGCCTTTTCTATCTGTCCCAAATCAGCAGGATACATCTGGATAAGACTTCCAGCTGAAACCTTGGGAACAAATTGTTATTATGGCAGGCCTTGCTGAGTGGACCAGTGACTGATTCAGAAACACTGTTAAAAAACGGACATCACGGTGCAGCTATTATGTAATCTCCGTGGACAATTTGGGTGTTTGCTAATCTGGACAGGGTACTGATCCAGAGTACTGTTGAATTTTTTTTTTGCCAGGATTCCATTAATTTTATTGTAAAAATATGTATTGGTCAACACTGCACATTGCATAAATTCCGAAGAAAAATATTAAAATAAAATAATAAAATACAATAAAATAAAGAGTTCTGATTTGTGAATTAGAGAATACAGGTTTTTTTAAAAAAAACTAAATATATTTGAATGTTGTCCTTTCAGCTTCTAAGCATAATGAAAGAAGCGATGATCCTGCAGATCCTTCTCTGGAAATCTTCAAGCATGCTTCTGCATTATCCAAGGTATATATAATGCTTAAATCATCATATAGCCATTTTTCTAAAATTGTCATTTGATTTACAGTTATTTGATCAAGGCATTTTTCCCCCCGATAAAACCAATAAATGCAATTCCCTCATTTGTGCGTCCACACATACACCCTCACACCCACAAACGCATGCATTGTGAGGGAATCAGAGAGAGTTGTGCAAAATCCAGATTCAGTTTTAATCTTTCTGCATACAAAAAACTAGGCTGGAAAGCATTTCCTGAACAGGCTCAACATATATAATTATAATTAGATTATTTATTCAGATCCCACCTTTATTATTTTTCTTCAACATACCTAAATGATCCTTTCTCCTTTTGTTTGCCCCACAAAAACAAACCTGTGAGGTAGGCTGAGCTGGGAGAGAGTAACTGGCCCAAAGACATCCAGTCAACTTTCATGTTTAAGATATATCCTGGTGCCTACCTGCTTTAGTCTTTATCTACAATCTCAGTCTTAAACTTGTAACTGGCTTCCTTAGATCAGAAGGTCATCGTAGCCATTGACAAAACCATCCAGCCTATTCGTCTCTTTTGCTAGATTTATATCTCACTTTTCACAGGCTAATGCTTTCTCCTTCTGTCTTCCCTGTGACAACCCCCGAGATATGAATTGGCCTGTGAGAGACAGCTTCCAACATTGGAGTGCTGAGGCTGAGGAAGGAGTTTTGCTGAGTAGAGCCTTTGTAGTGTCCAAGTATTCCCTGGGCAATCAGATTTACTGGGTCACTTCCTGCCCACCAGAAGTCAGTTAAGCCAAATTATTTCAGAGAGTTTTGTTTGTTGAAGAAAATTACAGGAACTGGTTTTAGAGATAGCCTGTAATCCTTTTAATTACTTTATTATATACTGATTACTAACTGTGCCATGGATGTTTTATGTTAGTACGCTTCTGAGAATTGCTGGATTGTAGCAGGCTAACATTTCAATTAAATATTTTCCAACCTTACTTGCAAGGGCTACGAAGCCTGTAATCCAAAATATCCCCCGGATGCTCTGTTCTTCTGTAAGAATTCTTTTCTAATGGAAGTTTTGTGTAGCTCAGAGCATCTCTGAAAGTTTTCCTAACAGTCTGAAATTGTTTTGAGTTAAGAGGACAGCAAGAAATGATGTCTTTGAAAGGCACACAGACACTGCCTGACTTTCTCTGGGTTTGGACCTCTATTTGCTCAATGATGTTTTTCCCTTTTGTTCCTGACAGATTTCGCTAAGGGATGCTCGGCTCGGTATGTGACATATTTTGCCTTCTTTAAATGTACTTTTATAATATGAAATAAGATTATGGACTTTCTTCTTGGATATACAAGTGCAAGCATCCCCAGGGGAATGGAAAACAAAACCTATGTTTCTGAAGTGACAACAAAACAAAAAACTTATGGCTATAATGCGGTCTGTGTCACAATACCTCAACACACATTTTATCATTTTTTAAAAAATAATCAGAGTTTGTACAACAATAATTTGTACAACAATGCTTATAGCCATTAACTGTGCAGCCGGATGGAAATCTAAGAAACGACTGGATTGGGTTTTAGCTCACAAGACTCCCTGAGAAACACTGGGCTAAGAAGTTGCCATCTCTGTAACAGCATAAATCCTTTTGTATACAACACCAGAGCATTCACTGAACCTGCATTAGCCTTAAATTGAGATGTGCAATAATTTCCGAGACATATTGGCACATGGTAGTCCAAAATTCAGCTGTATTTATAAATAGTGTACATATGTAGGAAGGAAGGGGCATTGATTGAGATTATTTTATATTTCAACTTGTAAGTTGATGGAAGATAATGAATGGATGCCTAAGCAAAATAATAACTCTATCAGAGCTGAATGGTCTCAAATTCATGTACTAGGAAGCCTAAGTAGGATGGTGTTATTTTATCCAATTTATGTTCTTGTCAGAGGCATTATTTTGTATGAAAGAGCCGTGATGGCGCAGTGGTTAAAATGAAGTACTGCAGGCTACTTCTGCTGACTGCTGACTGCCAGCAGTTCAGCAGTTCGATTCTCATCGGCTAAAGGTTGACTCAGTCTTCCATTCTTCTGAGGTCAGTAAGTTGAGGACCCAGATGGTTGGAGGCAATATGCTGACTCTATTATAAATGGCTTAGAGAGGGCTGTAAAGCACAGTGAAGTGGTATATAAGTCTAAGTGGCATTGCTATTGCTATTTACCTGGTCATTGTGAAGACAGAAGCTGGACTAAATTCACCTTCAGTCTGGTTCAACATGGATCTTCTTTACAGTCTTGCATAATCTTTACACACACAGGAATACATACATACTTTTACCTCTAGTGCAATCAGCAAGAAGTAATATTGTTAAGAATCTCGACATTAGCTTGTGTTGTATAATTTTGCTTTAAGGAGCCAATATACTATTAATTCTCTTTTTGTCAAATACAACTTGGCAAATATAGCCAAGGAAAGATAGCCAAGAAAAAGGCCTGTCATGATAATATCACACTGGCATGAATATCTGAGTCAACCTGCAAATGATTATAGTGTGCCAAGACAGCAGATATAGAGTGCATTACCCAAGTTCCAAAATAGTTGTTTGTCATAATTTATAAAAATAGACTATAGACTATAAAAATTATAAATTAATTGTCTATATGACTTAATCATTAGTCTTAATTTTCATTGTCATTCAGTGATGAGATTCTCCTTATCCAAAATCTTAACAAATTTGTTTCTTTCGTCTGCCAGAACCTAAGAGTAAACTTGATTTAGCAATGTATCTGAATGAAAGGGTAGAATTGTTAAATAGCAAAATGGATTATGTTATTTCAGCCTATGGCTACTACACCTTTCTTAAACTCTTATTTGAAAGAGTTTAGTAGTCTTCAGTCTGCTCAGAATTATGTTAAATCAGAAAACACAAGACAACCATAAAAGCTAAGCTAATATAATGCTCTTCTTAAAGCACTCTTTTCCTTTATCTCTTTCTCTCTTACCCAAAAGTGCTTTATCAAGAGGCAACTGGACTTTCTGATTTATTTATTTTTTGAAGACGTTTCATTTCTCATCCAAGAAGCTCCTTCAGCTCAAAAGAAAAAACCCGAAAGGCTTTTTCAGTTGCCTCTTGAAAAAGCACCTTTGGGACAACCACGTCCTGGATGACTGAGAATCTCCATAGACACTTTCTCTCTTACACAAACACACACACAATGTCTTCCCCATGCCCACAAGGACACAGAAGATGGATTGGACAGCAGCCTTCACAGGTAGCCTCTCATTCTTGGAAACCTTTTTTCTGCTCCCCAAGTGTCAATAACAAGCTTTCAGTAAACAAATAAAAGCTATATTCTTTTAGCAAAGCTTCCATTGCTCTTATCATACCTATTGACTCGATAACTTGTCCTGTAATGTTGTTTTGTTAAATGTAGATATCGCCCAGAGTCTTTTGGGATTGGGGCAAGTTATAAATACTATCAATAATTAAATAAAATAAATGTCCTATTTTGAATACTCTACTTTCTTGATGGAGGAAAAAAATATCCCCATCAGATGCATTTTCATAAAAGGCAACAAGAAGTTTTAGCATGTATATTATTTATTTATTATTTAGCATGTATATTATTTAGCATGTATATTATTATTAACATTGCTATTTAAAAATCTGTTTAAAAATTACCACATCAAGGAGACCAGCTCAACTCACTTAGAAGATTTTTTTAAAAAACATACATTTCCCCCCTCACTTGCACTCTGTAGTGAGTATAATTGATTCTGTCATTTTATTCCTTCCTAATTCTGCTCCATGTCTAAACCTGATCTAAAATGTGGATCGATGAACATTCTGTTGATCACCGGACATCATTATAGCTGAATAGTTTTCCAAATAAATAGACTGTAGACAAACTAGACTAATAGAAAGCAAATTATTGTAAACTCACAATTTTTATATGCCCTGTTAACTCTTCAAGGTAGTCCAGACAAGGAAACTCACATTATAAATACTAATACTACGTATTATAAGGTTATAGTAACAGAATCTTTAAGTCTGACTGTACTTCCCTCCCTGCCTTTTAAATTCCTGTTAGCTGGGCTGTGGGGGTGGTTTTGTCCTTTGTAAGATACTTATTCTATCTTTAGCTTTCCTTTTCACTCAGATTTTGTTTATCAGGCTGTTGTCTAGGCTCAGGGCAATTCCTCCTGTCTCCCTCAAGGTTATCCTCATAGCCCCTTACATGCTCTTAGTAACACAGTCTACACTTAAAGAGAATTATAGGAGCTCCGACCCATTGCCTCTGGAGTATCAATTAGCCTGGAACAGAGACAATACCTGAATACTGATTTTAATTTTAGTGCAAATTTCTGTGAGAGATCAAATAACATGACTTGTGTTTTAAAGCTGGTTCTTCTCCCCCCACCCTTTATGTTTTATTTTCCAGCTCCTGTGTATTCCAGATTATTAGCCAGGATGAAACATTAAAGTGACAGCAACCTACATGTCAAGCACAATCAAGGATTCAGTTGATTTTTACTGTGGAAAGCAAAGCCTAAATTTAATCAAATCAAAACACCGCCATGTAGGTGGAATGTATACAAAGGTGATCTTCTTTTTGAAGTGAAATAAAGAAAATAAAAGCCATATAGCCAGACACAGCCATCACTTTATAAGATTACTTTGTCCTAATAGTAGGATAATTTAGGAAATATCTATTCCAAAATTATTTAAGTCATATGAGCTTAAGCAAAGAAAACCCCCTAGTATTGTAGGTGTATCAAGAAAGAGAACCAGGTGTCATATGCTTAGCTCACCCATTAAACTGTTTAGTCCAATGGCTTCTACTTCACTGGACAAAAGTTGCCCTAGTTCTCAAAGGAACAGCTTTCCTGTATCTTCTGATGGAATTTGTTAGCTAGTGTCAGTGCCTTAGATCTTATGTATATAACCGTGCTCTCTTCCATTGAATAGGTTTCTTCCATAAATTATTTTTTTAATGATTTATTTGGACTTTAGCTGCAGAAAATGAAGACATTGAGCACTCTTAGTCTAAATAATTCTCAGGTTGGCTTCCATTTTGTTTCTCTATATTCTGTCTGTAGACCAAATTGCAATCCCTTAAACTATATTTTCATTTTCACTGCTAAAACAATTGCTAGAGATCAAGAGCCTAAACTATTTTTATATTCTCAAGTCCAATGGGATGAATGGTCAATTTTTTGTAAGGTTCAAACAATAGGATTTTGCTTCTATATCGTTTTGTCAAGGAATATTTTTGGATAGAGTCAGAGAGCCTTCATGTACATTTACTGTATACTGGCAGAATCATTACTTTCTCTTTACATATTAGGAATTTTTCAATTGTAATGCTCTTTTTAAAATTGCACTCTTTTTTTAAAAAAAATATTGTAGAATAAACTTTGAGTTTAAGATTCTATCTCTATTTCTGCTTTGAGGCTCCCAATCTTCACAGCCCTATAATTTGACCTTTCTCATAGGTGTCTGGAGAGGGGGGAGAAGCAAGAGGGGAAAAATGTCAGAATGTGCATTATGACATGATGATGTACAACTCATGGGTTTCGTCTTACATAACTTTCACACTTTTCATAAATGTTTTGCCATTGACTGTGGTAGAGGATGCCAATGACCCTTTTTGTGCAGTTCCAAGGGATCGTTTGAATTTTCAGCTCTAGGTATGTTTTTAAAAGGAAGCCTGAAACTTTGCGATGATAATCATTACCCTTTTCTTCTCAATTGCAATAACTTGGAATTTGTATATACATATTTTATGCAAAGTAAAATTGAATATTGTCAATTGAATGTGGCTCTGTCAGTGACAATCCAAATCTGGGTTACTTTCTGCTCTCTCATAGTGTACCATCTCCAGATCTGACAAAACAACCACTCTTTTTAAAAGTGTAGAATTCAAAAGGTTTTTGCGATGTCATGTGAGAGGCTGTTGTCCAAAGCCACTTGGGCAAGTACAAGGTATTGCATATGTTGACATGAGCTTTCTAAAAAATGGTCTATAATCTTATACTGTATGATAACCAGAATAGAGTAGAGTAGAGTAGAGTAGAGTAGAGTAGAGTAGAGTAGAGTAGAGTAGAATTCTTTATTGGCCAAGTGTGATTTGTCTTGGTGAATGTGCTCTCAGTGTACATAAAAGAAAAGATACATTCGTCAAGAGTCAAGAATCATCAGGTACAACACTTAATAAAAGTCATAGGGTACAATAAGCAATCAAATCATATTAGGAAACAGTCAATATAAATGGTTAGGATACAAGCAGCAATATTACGGTCATACAGTCATAAGTGGGAGGAGATGGGTGAAAGGAAGGGAGGATTAATAGTAATGGTAATGCATAAAATAAAATAAGCAAGTACTTTAGCAAGAATCTATTTTAACTTCTTCCCTGTGCTTTGAAAATCTTCCATGCAATTCTTCATTTTAACCTTTTTTTTAAAAAATCCTTCATTATTGATATCAGGGAATTTTAGCGCTCGATGAGCTTGGTTGTTTTGCCTGCAGACAACCAAGTAACATAATCAGTGCAAGCAAAACAACCAAGCTCAGAGATCACCAAGGACTCCACAGTTCAACTCTGAGCTACATATTTTCTCCAATTAAGAATTTTGCATGATGCAAGGCATAGTTTGACCAGTGCTGTTGATTAACTTTGGTTTACACATATGGTTCTAACTTTCATCCCCTTTGTTCTTCCCACATGCGAAAATACATCCTCACATTTAAAAAAGCCATGGAGTTCTCCCTCATAAAAACCTTGAAGTAAACAATCAATCTGTAATAAAATTTGAGTTTCAACTTAAATAGATAAGGTAAAGTTTCTTTCAAGTCAGATTCAGTCTTTGGACACAGCCATGTAATTTTCTTGGCAGTGTGGTTGTGGCTGGTTGTAAGCTTCACAATTATGACAGATGATTCCAGCATAATTTTTTTTAAAAGTATGTGCTAACCCCCCTGGTTTTTATAATAATGAAGTTACAGCCGTTACTGTCTTCCCCAAATCATCAGGAGACCTTGACCCAAGTAAAAGAAATTTAATTCGTACTTATGGAAGTTTTGATCCACAGAACTCATGTTTTCCTGTAGACAGAGTCAAGCAAGTGAATTTACATGTGAATACTAGGAAAATAATAGGTTGGTGCGGGGAAGAAGCTCCACATACAGGCTTCACACTCTTCATTTTGGTGTACTGATATATTTAGAATAAGGGGGAAACATCTGTGGATTCTACAGTGCAGTTATTGCTTAACTCCAAAGTTCCTGTATTTCTAATAACTGGCTGGCCTCTTTAAGGTTGATAGTGATTAGAATTCAAAGAAATCTAGAGAATTATACATTTCCTACTTTGGGGGGGGGGGACTTTGGAATTATAGCATGGAATAAAATTACTGGTTTGTCAAATAATTTCATTAGCATCACAATTCTATCACGAGCTCAAGGTTTCCCCTTTATGTTACACTAACAACAACTTTATGAGATGAATCAAACTGAAAAATAGTAATCTTGAGGGACATATTTTCTCAAAATAAATACCAGTGGCCCCATTTTTATTTTTAGGTCTCTTGGCCCAAATTGCAGTATCTCTTCTAATACTTGACCTGAACTAGTTTTTTTTAATAACCTTTTTAAGGCAATACAATTATTGTCTTGCTAAATGTGAATGCTGTCCTCCTGAACCTTGTTCAACCAGCCTCAGGTGCAGGTTGACATTACTTTTTCTTAACTCCATAGATAAGAGAGGAATGGATCATTTCTCAGGACAATGATTTCCTGAGAAAAAAGGAAATCATTAGGATGACTCATTTCTTTATTATTACAGCCCGGCGGCATACCAATATCCGATGATATCCATTTCTTTTTCTTGATTGAAAATGACCTGGCACTATCTATATGTAAAAGTGAATCCTTCATTTTGACATGTAATTTGGGCCATGCACTAATTCCTTCTCTATCTTCTGGGAAACACTCAAATGCCTTTCTCCTCACCTGAAGTTTTAACACCAGTCAGCTTAAGCTAAAATGTATAGCAAAATTTCTTTCAAGATAAATGTAAATAGTGAACTCTACAGCTACTTCTAGATGTTTTCCTTGAGTTTTCTTCCACAAAAAATAAGTGAACTATAATTATTCTATGCAAACCACGAAACAGATGTGCAATTAAGTAATTTAGAAAACAAACGCACAAATGGGTAAATAGACCTTTAAACACCAAAAAATGTCAGGATAGCAATAGCCAGTTGGACAAGGTTGTTGTCCAAAAGCAGGATTGCCAAATTCCTTTGCTGTACAATTGGAATGAAAAGCCTTGTTGCCTCATCCAGACTCAAGAAACCACAGAAAGATCTAGCAGGACAAAATTCAGTGCACAGCTATTATGAAGGCAAATGGGGAACTGAAAGAAGGACTTTTGAAAAAGGAACAAGTATTTATATATTTGAAATAGGCCTGAAACTTTATTCTTCTATCAGCTCAGAATACAATCATCTTTGCGGCTACTGATCATGAAATCATTACATTCCTTTTCAATAAAGTAAGGCAATATTATTTAGTTCACTCTGGAAGCATAGAAGTTTGCTGGGTGACTTTAAGCCAGTCACATTTTCAGCCCAATCTACTTACACATGGGTTGCTGTGGGGGAATGCTGGAGGAGAAAGTTCTGTGTATGCTGTTTTGAGTTCATGGAAGACAGGCCAGATACAAATAGCAGAAATGGAGAAATGGTTGAAATATGGCCAGTTAGGAGAGTTAACACAGTCCACAACAAGGACTGATGCTACTCAATTTCCTTCTATTTCTTGGCCATGAGAAGGCTCAAGTGAAAACCCACATTGGGTCATCAAGTATTCACTTTCCAAAAATAAACTTGGTGAATTAATTGTCCATTCTGTCTTTTTAAGTGGAAATAATTTGTTGCCTGGCCTGTAGGCAGTGCAAAAGACAAGGAAGAAAAGGAGGAGTTCTTATATAAATATACAACAACACACATTCAGTACATTGTTTATAGAAACAACCAGCATTCAGTTAGCTCATCAAGTAATTTAAGTGCTAGTCAAAAAAAGCAATGTATCTTGTGAGGCAAGTTTCTGGGGATATAAGTAGGACGGTGGTTTTGCATATTTATAAGCAGCTGGCTGGTCAGGATGACAAAATCTTGATTGATCTGATTCAGCAAACTATTGTGATAGCCTTAACCCATTGTGGTAAATGCCTACATTTAACTTCTGAATGATCCTGCCAATACTGAAAATTGCATTTTGATGTCACAAAGCAAGTTCCACCCTTTTCTATCTCATTCAAGAATGTAAGGAGAAGATTTTGTGCCGCACAATGCATGTTTCATCAAACATGCAGAAAGGGGTAGTGAAGCTATAAGTTGTCCCATTTTCCATATCCATGTGCAGTTTAGAAACATGATCAAATTGGGGGTGCTGTGAATAGATGTCACAGTAGTTTGGTCTTTTTTTCTTTCAGTTGCAGTTTAATCAAAGAAACATAGATAATAGTTTAGCTGGCCCCTATAATCTAAAGGTCTGTTTTTAAAAAAATGTTGGATAAGTAGCAACTTTTTAAAAAGCCAGATCTTTAGATCTGGATAAGTAGCAACTTATCCAGGATGTAAAGTATTGTCCTGGCATACATAATGGAGAAGCTGGCTAAGAAAAGGGGAGCTCTGCCCACCAGGTAACAGAGTCTAAGAATATGGCTGGAATTAGTATAGCA